ATAATGTAATATTGAACCTGTGTAATGTACCAGTGAGCTCAGTTAACCGGGTCGCTGTGTATTAGCTATGTAGTCCTTATGCAGGGAGATTCCAGCCCACATGTCCCTTGTCATGGTAAAAACACACAACATGCAGCAGCTGCCAGGTCATGGCTGCAGGGTCAGAGAGCAGTTGTGTAAATAGAAGCCGGTCTAACCTGTTGATACCAGAACCAGCTGCTTCTGCAGGGTTTGGTATCTGTGCCGGATTTATGTGGATGTGATTTTTACTAAAACCATCAAAAAGACCACTGTTGTATGCTGATGACGTTAGATTGTATTATTCAGTGATGTTTGAACCACAGTTCATCATATTCACTTCTGGATTTCCTTCCACAGGTTTTGAAAGATTATTTCTGACTAACTGTCCCATCAGCTGCAGTTTTAGGTCCTTTTTATAACAATATAGTCAATTTATCTCCATATAAAGCTGCTATGGTTCAAGGTTACACTTGTTCTTTTCTTTCAGTAATAAGTTTGCTGTATCCCTTTGGCTAACGCACAGGCTTTTCTTTTTATTTCCCTGTAAACCGGTACCAGACACCACCTTCCTGGATATACGTTTTGTTAAATGTGGACATTTTGTCATTCAACCATAAAATACTATATGTTTTAAAAAAAAAATAATGCATCTTGTCTGCTTGCACTCCTCCGTCCTAGACAAAGACAAGGGTAAAACGTACTTCGATATAGAGAAACTTGTCCAGCACAAGACGTATAACTTTCCCAAGAAAGATGTTTCTCCAGCAGCCGCCGCCGCCGCAGCAGCTGAAGCTGCGGCTAAACCGATTGTAGAGTCCACGCCGGCTGCAGCTGCACCTGAGGCTGCGGCAGAGGCTGCAGTCCCAGTGGCTGAAGCTGCACCCGTTGTTGAGGCAGTTGCCGAAGCTCCACCAGTGGTGGAAGCAGTCACAGGAGCTGCACCAGTGGTGGAAGCAGTCACAGAAGCTGCACCCGTTGTTGAAGCAGTCGCTGAAGCCGCACCCGTTGTTGAAGCAGTCGCTGAAGCGGTTGCCGAAGCTGCACCAGTGGTGGAAGCAGTCGCCGAAGCAGCACCAGTGGTGGAAGCCGTCGCTGAAGCCACACCTATTGTTGAAGCAGTCGCCGAAGCCACACCTATTGTTGAAGCAGTCGCTGAAGTGGTT